TAAGTAGTCTGATTCAGGCAGTCTCCCACCTTTGGACTATACAAAGCTAACTAAGGTAACTAAGCTTGGTAGCTAAGTTTGGCTACTGATAAAAAAAGATTGTTTCTATATACTGTAGAAAGCTGAAAGTTCTCCTCATACTAGGATTCCCAAAAGCTAACCATGTTCTTGAATAGATTTCTCAGTGGATCTCTGCAGTTCAGAGGCAAGACTATATTGCTAGTTTTCAGACTATGCAGGCTAGTTGATTGAAGGGATTGTCAAAGGAACCACTACCCAATTCTAGCATTTCTAAATCAAACTCTTCCTACCCAGAATATAAAACCCAAAACATAAAAAAAAAGAAAATATCCTGTGCAAGATAATGAAAAATATTTTAGAAGGATGAAAAATCCTTGATTTAATGTCATCATTTTGATAAAGAAGATGCAGAATGTTGCCACTTGGTAGCTGGGGATTTCTTGGATATAAGAAGGCTGTTTGGAGCATTCTGTACTCCTTTTCGGTATTATTGTTTTGTGTGGATGTTTTCAAACTCAAATATACTCTTCTATCGGTTTTCAAATTCAGCTTGATTATATCATTTATAGAACAAATATAATAGAAATAGTAAAACCTGAAAGGAAGTTACAGCGTTGCTTTCTATGTTGGTTCTTTATTTTATAGATGAGCCAATGTTTCTCCGTTTTTGGTGGCTCAGCATTGGCATCAGTCTACCAAATAATGTAGCATGCTTTCCAGGAATTTTCATGTGGTAATTAATGCTAAGATTAATAGAGTATGTTGCTTACTTAAGGAAATATAGGTACCTGCAGTTACTGGTGTAGCTACTTCAACATTTGGGTGGGGTGGGGTTGGTTATATCCAAAATGGGGAGGATTGGTAGATAACTTAGTGATGTAAAGACATCAATACAAAACTGAATTTCAGTTGTAACTTTACCTGTGCTCAGAGATCTGTCTAACTTTGGATTAAAACCTTGTAAATGTTTTGTACTCATGGTGATATTTAAATTGCATTCAACAAATAATATATAAAAAACCTAAATTAATAGTAATTGCTGGGATGTTCCTCATACATTCAGTATGATTTTGAAAAAAAAAATGCCTGGGGCTTGGTTCCTGAAGGATGGTATTTTTTTAGAAGAATTTTTTTATGCAACAAAATTGTACTACATAATGGAAATCAGTGCAATTTGAAAAGCCAACTTTTATTGCAGGAAAACTTTCAGAGTAGACGGGATGCTGACGAAAGTAGAGAAAACAAAGGGAGAACACGACTTGCAAAGGTAACATTTGTTTTATCAACCAATGTGTTTCACTAGCAATGTTTCAACTGCGATGGATACATGATAGATTAAAAAAATGTGGCAATAAAATTTATGCAGAAATGGAAGTGAAATGTGATGTAGATTAAGATAATTTGCATCTGCTTCTCCCATAATAAAATATCCATAAATTAATCCTGTTAAAGAGATGTGTGTGTTTTGTACTTTGATAGTGTGATGTCTCAGTTAACACTGAATGATATATAATAAAGTTGCATCTGCAAAAGGAGACTTCTGTAGACATTTATTTTTGGGTAGTATATAGGCTGGATACACCAATTGATTTTTTTTTTTGAAATTTCCTTGATTTCCATTATGTAGTCCAATTTCCACTTACTCTGCACTGTATGGATTGGGATCAGTGGTACGTAGATTATATTGCAATTTTTTGAACATAGTTTAAAGGCAACCAAAAAGAGTGCTCTCTTTTTGGCTGCCTTTAAACCATGTTTAAAAATATTGTGACTTTGCAGATAAATGTTCAGCATATTATATCATACTGAAATAGCTATATTAGCTGTCGCTTGACTTCTGGGGCCAGTTCAAAGTGCTACTTTATTACCCTCAGTACATTGACATAGTTTTGGACTGCCATATTTCAAAATGTTTTGGATGTGATCCTGCTGAAATAATACAGTATTTAAAAACTGTTATATAATTAGAAATTCAGTTTATTGGAACTGGAGAAGGAATCTGTTGAATGGTCCATTTATCTTTCAGAAATTGGTCTGATTTCTCTTTGGGTTTTTGGCACAGCATGAATTATTATTTTAGGAAGGCAATACATGTTAGTGATTGAGATTGATAAGTGTACACTGCTATGATGTTTGCTGCTTCTTTTAAGGAATTTTATTTCTTTCAATAATGTCTTTGTACATATTTTAGCTTACGCTTCTCAGCTTTTTTAGAAAAAAATGATAGGTAGATCTTGCTTAATGATGCTAATTGGGATTGGAAAGTCAGCAATATTGTCATAAGTCAAAAAATAAATAAATCATGTGACTGTGCAACTTAGCTAGGGCAGTTCCAGCAGCCCCAGTTGCCATTGTAAAGCAAGGACCTTATGTAACTACAACCTCTGACTTCCTGCCAGCTTCCCCATTTACCTTGCAGGAAAATGGTCATTGAAGAAGTGAAACAAACACTACCTGTTGTAATACATTTTTATTAGCTTTTATTGAATTGTTTTAGAAATTGGAATTTAATTCAAAAGAACTTAGCATTTCTTAATGTAATAAAAGAATATAGCAAATGAAGGGTAGGACATTGGGGATGTGCAAACCTATAATAATGATGAAAATGACTTCTATTCTGGAAAATTTATTTCCCAAGAGTGCCTAAAATCACTGCTTTCTAGGGTGTAAAAAACTTTGTGGGAATGAGCCATGTACTTTTATGCACAGAATATGTTATCAAACTTTGCTTATATGCAGATTAGATTACATTGAAGCTCAGCATTACAGTGTTTTGAATTCTAAGACAAAAAGATGCTCCATTATATGCAGGTGGAAACATTTCAGACTTGTCTTTAATTTCTCAAGCCAAATACATCTTTTCCTAGGACTGTAAATTGGGACTCTAGTGAAATACTCAATTTTATTTTCTATAAATCCGCTGCCAATTCTATTTTCTTGGATGACATAGGCTCATAACTTACACATAAAAAAAATAATGTAAACTAAAATCCTTCAAGTGAGGAATTGCTTGAATAACTTAGGATCTTAAGTTAACGGCTTTTCTTGATGAGTTTGTTTTTAGGAACTGATGTTAGTTTCCTATTTGTCCTTCTGAAATAAAAGTTTCAATCATTTTTCTTGATAGAGAATTGCAGATTGTTTTTAAAGTATAAACATATACTTTAAAATATTTAAAATCCTGAGATGTTAAATTTATTAAATTTGTAACTTTAGAAGCCAGTGGTTAAAGTTCATTGAACAATATATATATCAGATTTGTTAAAATGGTTCTTGACAGTAGTTTTATCCAACATTGGCATTATAGTGCAGGTGAAAGGGACAAGCTTTGATGAGTATAGTAAGAAAAGAAAAACTCATAGTTGTGTCATAAAAGCAATGCTTTTCTCCCAGTTTATCCTAATTCAGTAAACAAGGCTTTCAGTCATTAATACTTCATATCTAGGAAGTGTTATAGCATACTTCTTTTAGAAAGAAATCAAAGCAAGCCTAATAAATCATATAATTACCAGCCAATTTAAAACTCTGCATTATTAAAATTTCTTTGCAGTGCATTCTCATTAATATACAACATAGTCATTGTAATGCTGGGGTAAAATTACTTCCACCAGTGCTGAAATCTATGTTGCAATTGAGTCATTTTTTTCTATTATAACTTTCATGTAATTACTGCCCGACTCGTTACCTGGTTTTACAAGGTGTACCATCTTATGGAATGCCTTGAAGTTGACTCCCCTCCAGTGGTTTTGCTACTTGTTAAGGGTCATTTAATTTCAGCAAGCTGTTGAAGCTAATGTTTTGACTAGGATACTATTGACTCTGTCTCTCTATTCAGCGACTTTACTATTGTATGACCTTTACAAAACTGAATTTTAAAACATTGTGAGATACCTTGAGTGGTGATTGACATAACTCAAATTGTTTATAAATATTTTAACAAAATAATTTTATGACATTGTTCTTTCAAATTGACTCTATTCAAGACCTAAACAAATGTAGGCAGATAATGAAGGGATCAAGCGGGTCAGAAACTTTGGCTTATTTTGTTTAGAGCAGCCTGCTCAACTAATGACCTCAGATATATTGCATTGTAACTTCAGTCATCCCCATCCTATTGTTATATTGCCAGCTTGGTGAGTGAATCTTCCAGGTTTTGTCTCGTCTGGTAGAGGCCTTTAAATATTAAAACAAACACTTTGAATTGGACTCGGAATACTATTGATCAGCCTTAAAGTTTGACACATATGAAGTAAATACAGGTCATAATTAGTAAAATGACTTGCACTTTCAAGCATGAGAAATTCTTCATTTAAGCATTCTAATGTGGAATATAATATTAATCCAGACAATTAGGGAATTAAAGACTAATGGTAGGTCGGTATGTGTAATGTAAGGAAGTGCCAACTGAAGCTAACCAAGAATACCTAAAACAGGAATTAAACTATAGATTCCAAAGGAAAAAGTGCAGTCTCATTCAGAACTATCTGTACATCTAATCCCAACTACTTGAAACACCCGGTGAATAATATATGTGTTATTTTAGCAAAGGAGCCAAAATGATTATTTATAGCACTTGCTATGTTTCATATAAGTAGTTGTATAGTGGTACTTTTTGTTATTTGTAAATGCAGTGTTTTAGTGGACAAAATCTTTGTTTGCATAAAGACTTAAAAGAATGTCACAACTTCAAATCAGTTAAATTTTTATTTTCTTAATTTAGCTTGTCTGCTCATCTACATCTCACCTTTACCGGTTTCTTCCATAAAAATGGTAAGTAGTTTATCTCTTTTCCCCTTGTGATGCTGTTCTCTCAGTTGACAAATGTCATTTGTTGTAGAGTTAGGGAATAAAATTAAGACAATAAAAATACTTTTAAAACTTGACTTATACAATACCATTGCAAAGTATTAGTTATATCCAGTTTGTCAGACTAATTAATTGGCTTTAAAGCTTGAAGTTAATGGCAATCTTAATGATTTTGTTTCTGTATATTAGTGTGGCGTACTAAACATTTGTTATGGTCCTCGACTTACAACCATCGATTTAGTGACCATTTGGAGTTACAATGGCACTGAGAAAAGTGACTTATGACCTGTTTTTGCACTTACGATTATTGCAGCATCCCCATGGTCACATGATCAAAATTCAAGCACTTGACAACTGGCATGTATTTATGACGGTTGCACCATCCTGAGGTCATGTGATCACTATTTGTAACCTTCCCAGCTGGCTTCCAACAAGCAAAGTCAGTGGGAGAAGTGAAATTCACTTAAACACGAGTCACTTAACAACCAACTGCAGTGATTCATTTAACAACTGTGCCAAAAAAGGTTATAAAATGGTGCACAGCTCATTTACTGTTTTGTTTAGCAATGGAAATTTTAGGCCCTATTGTGGTAAGTTAATGCCTACCTGTACCAAGGATTTAAATTGAGCTTCAAGAAGAATATTGTGTGCTATGGTATTCCCTTAAATCTAAAGCTTCTGGACCTTTGTGTTTCAATTGTATTTGGTTGGCAATTATTGTAAACTCCATAGGACTTTGTTTCAGTATTTCAAAATATACTAAACCTTTGTACCATTTCTGAGTGATGGAAAACAACTGCAGCTCTATTTACGGGTAATAAATAGATGTTTTTGAATTTGACATCTGGCTTTGCAACTAAGGTGATTAAAAACAAAGTACTTTTTTTGTCAAGCTTAAATATAGAATGGCCATCACTAGACAAATGCTTTTCTGTTTGCCTAATTCTGCATTTTTTAACAATGTGTCTTGAGAAATCTCTCTGCGAAAAAAAGGTAGTTACGTTAGGCAATTCCTACTGACATGAAAGCCTTCTGTTAGGGATGAGTGGGCATTTCTAAAGCATCCAGCAATATCTTACTGTAAATATATCTTGGCCATGCAGAATTCAATTCCTAATCTTTTCAGGATTTTAAATCTTTCTCTTTCTATATTGACTGTTTAGATAAGCCATTGCAAAATTCAGAAAATGAACAAAGTTCTGTAACTCTGGAAGTATTGCTCGTAAAAGTTTGTCACAAAAAGCGAAAAGTAAGTACTAGAAAGCAAATGTTAAAATACTAGAAAAAATAGAAAAGACAATTATGTTTAGAAAAGTTATAGTTGGTAAGGAAGAGCGTGACATTAAAACTAGGCGGTTTCTTATAAGAAGCTATAAACTATCCAAATAAGTAAGCCATTTGTTTGCTTTGTCAAGTTTCTCTTTCACTGTTGTTTTATTCATATCTCTCATTTAAGGACTGGATTTTTTCAGATTTTACTACCAGATGAAATAATAAGTTCTAATTAGGTCTTACTTTCTTCAGTTTGTTTACCTGAATTCTAAGGAGAGGGACCATTTTGCCTCAAACTCTTAATTTTAAATTTAAATTTAAACTTTTAATTTAAAAACATTTAAGCTTAATATTTTTGATAAATGGCTTTTTCTCTTTGTTGATTTTTTTAAAAATGTAGCTTAAGATTTTTACAACATTTTTAAAAACTGCTTGCATTGCAAGCTGAATGATAAGTCTTAAAAAGTGCCCCTGATTTAACATTTTTAAAAATTTTGTTTGAACAAAAGGCCAAAAACTCCTTGTTAGTCGTTGTGGCTCTTTAGATCCTTTGGCACATTGGAAAAGGGTTGTTAGAAACTGGAAGAATGATAAGACTTGGTGAGCAATTAAGCGGATATATGATTACCGTATTTTTCCGTCTATAAGACGCACCCTTGTATAAGACACTCTGGCATGCGAGTTTCTCTGTGCCGCTCAGCTGTTTGGCAGAGCGCCGAACAGCTGAGCCGGCAAATCCGGAAGTTCGGCCGGCCGACAATCTTGCCCCCTCCCCTCCCCCCGTTAGTGGGAAGCCCACAGGGGCTTGACTGCTGCACCAGGTGGCATGGCAGCGGCGTGTAAAGAATCCACGCAGGCATGCCCTGGGCTGCGGAGGTTACCATTTTTCTGTGTATAAGACGCTGCACTTGTATAAGACGCACCTGATTTTTGAATGGGGTGTTTGCAGGAAAAAAATAGCATCTTATACATGGAAAAATACGGTATCTTCACCAGATCTTTGGTTTTGGAAAAAAGTGAAAAAAGACAATATTTTGACGAATCTGAAAGAAAATTGTTAATATTTTTAATTTCCTCCAAAACAAAGGGGAATATTTATACACCTGTTTTTAATAGTCATATTCTCTCTTTATGTAGACTTTGGTGACAATCATAGGTGCAGTGTACAAGACCAATTGTACTTCCAAATGTTCTAATTAGAGTCAACCATGTGGATGCAATTTAGTTAAACAGAGGTTTTTGCTATTTAGGTCTGAACTAGGAATGGTGGGGAGAGATGTTGTTTGTTCTTACTGTACATAGCAGCAATTCCTGAATCTCATTATCTCTTTATCATTTTCTTAATTCAAACATATATTGCATGTGACTGCACAACTTTCCTAAGAGACTACTGAATGGCCTGGGTTTTTGATGCCAACAGAAACAATGTATCATACTAGAGCCAAATATTTTTCTGCTTCAAATGTAGATCCTGCACACCTCAAGAACTAACAGTGAACTGAAAAGAATTCAATTTCATTATGTTAAGATACATCTAATCCATTATTACTTCTAGAACACAGTTCATGGCAGTGACAGCTTCCTAGGATAAGGGGGTTTGTCAGCAGTTTTATGACAAACCTCAGAAGCCTGGAAATAAATTTCATTTAGGCATACTGTAGTTGAAAATTTATCCTGTATATTCAATAGTACTATCCAAATGGAATATTAGAAACTAGGTAAAAATATATTAATTGGTACATCTTTTGTCTCTACCTTCAATTAAGGTTTACTATCATCTAAGTTATTAATAAAAATAATCTAGATATTTTTGATTACTTCATCGGTTCCAGAATACCATCCACATTTTTCAGCTGTGCAAGTTGAAATATTATCAATTAAAGCTGATACCATATACATTTATTGGTATTGTTCCAATTATAGCATTTAAATTGGGGGGGAAATGTGCAAATTTGTCAAAGTAGTTTATTAAACAGCTTTTTTCTTTGAGTATAAAAACTCAAAATAGCATGCTTCTAATGACAGCTCATGGTATTCTATTTTTTAAAAGTTAATTAGAATTTCAGCAAGAATATTATGAAACAGAATTTCAGACATAGTGTTACAACTTTAGATTTAAAATGAAAGGTATAATCCAGTGTAATTAAGTTAGGAAAATGCTTTATTAACAATTTTAGTTAAAGCTAAATTATGAAATCTGCAAACTTGATAACTTTATTTTGGTCATTTCTGATAATATAAAGATTGGGGCTATATTGCTAATTAATGTTTGACATAATGTAGATCTAGTCCTCAGGCTTCAATATAAAACTTGCTTGTTTGCTTGTCTGTTACAATATATTTTAGATGCAGTGTGTCTCTAATATTAATCTTCTGAAACTGTTGGAAAAGTCGCAAATATGAGCAAGTTCAAACTAGGTGATATAAAAATAGTGATTTTTAGAGTCGGTTCAAACCTTTAGCGAGGGAAGAGAAGGAAAATGTAAGCCTTTTTCATCCAGTATCCCCTGTCCTTCTGTCCTTTTGGAGGGACCTGAAAACCAATCTTTCTTTGGCCCATAGTGGGCTGTTCTAGGGCACCATCTAGTTATTGCTTTGTTTTAATGTGGGTTGGATGTGCTGTGCACCACTCAGATTTTGTATTGGGGCAATATATAAAATCTTGTAAAATAAATAAATGGATAATCTTGGGTTTTGCTCTGCTGTGCTCAGCAAATCATCTTATATTTGTCTGCAGGATGTTAGCTGTCCTATAAGACAAGTACCTACAGGGAAAAAGCAGGTACCTTTGAATCCAGACACCAACCAAATAAAGCCAGGCAACTTTCCATCATTGGCCGTTTCCAGCAATGAGTTTGAACCCAGTAACAGCCACATGGTGAAGTCTTATTCATTATTATTCAGAGTAACTCGTCCAGGAAGAAGAGAATTTAATGGGCTGATAAATGGTGAAACAAATGAAAATATTGGTAAGAGTGAAGTCTATTTCACTTTCACTTGAAATAAAAAGATGGAGTCAGTTCTTGAATGTGTCTTGAAGGTGTTCATCGCAAAAGATTTCGTGCATACCTTTTATCTGCCTTCTTTCAGTTTTGACTCAGACCCACGTGTCCTTGAGTAAGGTTTCTTTTTCAGGGAAAATTGTAAAAGATTTTCTCACATCACTATTTATTTATTCCTATCTTTCATTTTCCAAAGGAGCCTAAATTGGTTGCTATAGCTGTCCAATAGAATATTAAAATATTTTTAAAAACCTAATTCTTATATAATTTTCCTTTTTGGCCTTCGCCTTGTGTATTATAAATCCAAACAGGAGAGAACAGCAACTTGGAAAAAGACATAAATGGAGAATAAACCACTTCCTGAGGGCAAGGTTTTCAGTTCTTGATGCAATCATTTTATTGCAGGTAGTTTGAGAAAGTTTAACGTATTGCTATAATAAATACAATTCAGTTAAGTAATTTGGTGTTTCCGTATTGGCTAGAATCTGTTTTGCCCTAGAGAATATATAGCATATGTGGGTCAGACATTTTGAAACAAGAATAATGAAAGTACTTTGGCTAGTATTTGAGAAATGATAAACCTTGAATAAGAGAAAGATCAGCCCTGAACAACACTACAAATTCTACGAGTTCCACTGTGCTTTTAACACACCTTGAAGTTGGATTTCCTGTCAGCATCCAAAGTGCCTATGTTAGCAGAATGCAAATTGAATTTACTTTTATGCATCTGGTACCTTAGTATCCTTTTATCTAGAGCAGGGGTGTCAAACTGCCGACCCACGGGCCGGATCCGTCATGGCGACACATCACGTGACGTTGCGAGTTTGACACCCCTGATCTAGAGCATATGCAATTGAGAGCAGTGAATTGTTTTAATAAAATCTTCTTGTGCATATTAAAACTTTGCTGCCTAGAAAGGATTTCTATACCAAAGAAAGGATATGATCTTAGTTTTTTCATTGCTTTCTATTTTTACTATGTATCTGTAAACAGCTGTTTATGAGCAAATTCAAGTAATAAAATTCAAGCTACATGAGTAGTGAATTATATTAGTAACTATTATGTTCATACAGTAACTGTATTTAATTACAGATGTTAATGAAGAGCTTCCAGCTCGAAGAAAACGAAATTCTTCCAATCGTGAAGATGGGGAAAAGACTTTTGTAGCACAAATGACTGTATTTGATAAAAATAGGTAATGTGTTCTTTAAAAATGAGTTTTTTTCCTTGCATATGTTTCTATTAGCCTTTTAAATGTGGATTTTATTTTAGCCTAAGGCAGGGGTGTCAAACTGTCAGCCCGCGGGCCAGACACATCATGACGAAACTGCGCCCACCCCATTGCCGGCAATGGGAAAAAAGTTCTGATACGTCGCGCAACATTACAAGTTTGACATGTCTGGCCTAAGGTTTCTCGATCAAATTTAATTTTTGAAGGCTCATCTTTCCCAGAATAGAATTAAAATATTCTTCATTGCATTATAAAATCTCTGAGAGAAATTGTTACCCCCTAAAATTAAGATGTATTTAGTTATATATATATTTATATTATACAACTATTTACGAATTTATGACATAAATATCTGCAGCAGATGCCATTTCAACACTCTTCTATGCTGTCTATATTGCGCTTGCATAGGTACTGTCCTTTTTTGAGACTGAATGCTTTATTCCCATTTCTATACTGACATAGTAATTACCACCTGTGATTAAACATTGCCAAAAAATAAAGATAACTCAATTCTGATTTTCATGCTAAGTTTAAAATTAGAATGTTTTAATGTAGTTCTTCAGATGAAAAAGCACATTGATTTTTATTTTAAAACAAGTTATAAACTTGTTTTTTAGTAACAACACAGTAAAACAGTACAGTCTACCGATGTTCTTCTGCATTCAAAGTTCACAACAGAAGTGGAAACTTGAAGTGTAAAATTTATGTACAGATCAATTGATTTGAAAATGTGTTTATAGTAAAGATTTTTAAATACACATTTTCAGGGATATCTTTAAAATAGGGTCCTTTATTAGACTTCAAGGGTTATCTTTTTCTGCCAGAATTCTGTTAACCACAATTAACAATGGTAGCTATGGCAACTAAATGGACTGAAAGGTAGTTACATCTGCAAAAGATACGTTAAACAGTGTGTGTTATTTTAGGACCACACAAAGCATATGTACAGTATATTTGAAATGCAACATTTTTTTCCTCTTTTTCAAATAATAGAATTCATCCAAATGGACCAAACATGAGAAGTAAAGTGAATCTATGATTATAAGGGTGGGGAGAAGCAAGAAAAGGCCGAGCGTGGGTGGGTCTGTGGGGCGTGTAGAAGTCATCTGGGAGCAAATTTAAAGAGCAAACAAAGCTTGATAGAAGAAATAATAGAAGCAATAATATATGCAGGTAGTCCTCAACTTGCAGCCAGGTGAATATACATGTCCCAGGTTGATGTTGCAGGATCCAATCTGGGATTGATCCCTGTGCTGGGCGAGAGAGGGAGGGAGGGAGGGAGGAGCTCCCCTGAGGGGATGGGCGCTCCGGCATGACTCCGAAGGCTCAGAAGGTGACCAACCCAGATTGGATCCTGGTACAAATTACAACGGTACTGGGGGAAAAAATCCCCCATTGACTTTGCTTCTTGTTTCTGACACAGTAAAGTCATCAGTGCAAGCCAGATTCACTTAATGACTGCTTGATTCACTTAACAACTGCAGAGATTTGCTTAACAACTGTGGCAAAAAGGTTGTAAAATGGGCCAAAACTCACTTAACAACTGTGGTCGTAAGTTGAACACTATCTGCATTTGCCAATCTAGAGATAGATCAAGAATCCTTTAGTGTTGGGATCCAGCCTCTTTTTATTAAGCCAAACCCTAAGTCAGTCCAGGATACATAGTTATCACAGTAGAGATCAGTGTAATAAAAAAAATCAGCATTTTTTTCCTTTTAAAATAGAAAATTGTTTTATATAAATCACCTTCACAGACAAAGGGCATATGGCATACGGTTAACATTTCTAGCACTAAATCTTAAAAAAAAAATGCTTATGATATTTCTGATACAGGAATTCTGCCAATCTCAAAAAGATCAAACAATTGGAGAGGAAAAGTAACAATAGGCCAGCTAACATTTCAGTATGTTATATTTCTTCCAAATAACATAGAAACATGGTTACAAATTGAAATATAATATAATGTATTATAATATATGAATTCCTTGAACAGGTTTTAGTTTTGGAAATAGTTGAATGGTTTTGTTCACATCAGCCCCAGAGTTTTTAATCCTTTACCCTAATATGAATGTTTTGAGATTTTACTTTTCATATCCTTTTCTTGCTCCAATTATATTATTTATTGCCTTTCCACATTAAGAAATATGTATTTATTTCACAACATTAAAGTGGATAATTTAGAGATAATGAAGAAACCCCATAAAATTCATAAAAATTAAACCAAGCTATGTGACCAACATTGAATATTGAATAATAACTTTTTTTTTTGTAACAGACGGTTGCAGCTTCTTGATGGAGAATATGAAGTAGCAATGCAAGAAATGGAAGAATGTCCTATCAGCAAGAAAAGAGCAACATGGGAAACAATACTTGATGGAAAGGTAAGAACCAGAACTCCTCTCAAAAGTTGCACGAAGTTGATGAATTTCCTTAGCTTGGAATGTTAGTGACTTGAAATTTTATTAATAAGGCAACTTACTAGAAGGGAAAAGTACAGGTTAGTTCTGTCATAGAGCAATACTCCAATGAAATATTTTGAAATAAATATTTCTTCTTTAGAGGATTACGCTCCATAAGGCTTGATGTTCAGATGACTGATCATTTACTAGTGTGTTGGGATCACATTTGAAATCTCTTGCAGGCTGAGAGTGAACAGCTAAAGGGGAAATACAATTTACAAATTGATACATGAGAATATAATTAGATGTCAAGTATGCCATGTTCTCACTATAAATATTTGCAGTGCACAAGCCATTCCACTGCCCCACTATTGCAGTGAAGGTTATTTGGCTCTTAACAGTTTAACTATGATCTTTTCTCAATATTTTTTTTTATGAATGACTTGTTCCATTTCACCTTATGAAACACTCCTTTCGAAAATTCCTTAAAAATTTTTTTTTTCTTTTATTTCAGAGGCTTCCACCATTTGAAACATTTTCTCAGGGACCAACACTTCAGTTTACACTTCGATGGACTGGAGAAACAAATGATAAACCTCCTACTCCTATAGCTAAGCCCCTTTCAACACGGAATTCAGAGAGTCTCCCTCAAGAAAATAAGTCAAGTTCTGTTAAACCGACACAGACTATAGGTAGGTGAATATTTGAAACAGAAATACTAGTTGTGCTGCTTGCTTGCTGTAGATCCCTTCCCTTTGCTGGAATAATTTTTAAAACTCTTTTATTTCAAGTAAATGTAAAATATTACATGAGTCATACTGAGATTATATTAAATTAATTGGATTAATCTGCCTGAAGCTCAAATGAAGAAATGTCGCTTATTGGATCTACTTTGTCTTATATATTGTCTCTCAGAGAGCCTTTAATTTCAGTGCTAATCTGTCAGCATTGCTTGAAATTTGTTTCTGGGCCCATTTCAAATCTTGATCTTCAAAATTTTTAATAACTTCAAATATCTTTATTTTCAATAATGCATGATAATAATTATAGCTCCCTGTTTCTTAAGATATATTTGCTATTTAAGAATATTTGCATAAATTGAGAAATATTTACTTGTATATTTTTCTTAAAGTTTAAATATTTAGAATTAAAGACATGGCTATTTCAACTAGCAGGACTGGCCTAAGGGGAAATTTTTTAGCGGGGTTTTTAAAAAACAATTTTAAATTAATCAAAGGCCAAATCTAATATTTCATTTTAATTATGTTTTAACGATAGTATTGGGGTATTTTTGTATTAGTTTTTTATCAGGCTGTCAGCCGCCCTGAGTCCGTAAGGAGAAGGGCGGGGTAAAAATTCAATTAAATAAATAAATTAAATAAATAAAGACATAGGTATAAAAACTGTAAATAATGGCTTTCTTAAATGTAATATGGTACAGATTTGAAATAAACAAGAGTTTGTGTTCAAATTATAATATGGTAGAAATAAAAATAAGTCTGTAATTAATTAATATGAAAAAAACTGAATAGAATTGGAGGTTAATTCAAATATTGTACCAAAGCAAAGAAAAATACTTATATTAAAGATTAGGAAGAAAAATTTTCAGCCTAGCAAGTGTCAGGTCCTGACTGACCTTAAGTTTGAAAACTAAATGGTCAGAACTGGTTAGTATTTGAATGGGTGATGATCTCTAAATATTTGAATGGACCACCATTTAATATTGGAGCTTGGACTAGGCTGGAAAGTCCAGCACATACACATAACACCTCCTTGAGAAAATTAATACAGAATCACTTCTGTATTGTAGCCTGGAAAACTATATTGATATGGTCCTAAAGTCATCAGGTTGAGGTCAATATTACCTTTTATTTAAAATGTATTGCAGCCTTTAAAATTGCAAAACAGCTTAAGCCTGTTTTAGAAACTTATGCTATAGATCATATAGGATGCCTGCAAAATATATGATCATAAATATCACTATTGTAAAAAAATAATAGTTTAAAATATTGCTAACAATATATGCAGAAATATTGAATTATATCTAAAGTTTTATTTGCTCTTACCTCAAAAAGCAAACTTTTCTTCTAGCTTTCTCTGCATTTTTATTAGATGTTTCTGCTTGCTTTGAATGGGTCTCACAGTCCATCTTTCATACGTTTTTATTCATGTACTAAGACGTGGCATAAGGTGTGTGCATAGTAGTATGATGACATAGTAGATGGTTATTCAGTGTAGTTGCGCAAGAAATTTGCTGGGTGGCTTTAGAAAGTCTAAAGTGCTATAGGAGATTAATATGTGATAATAATGTTCAATAGGAAATAATAAAATAAATATACGCATTGAAAGTACCATAAATATTAGTCCAGAATACCCTTGTAGTGTATCCCACAATAGTGATTTGAACTTGTACTAAAGTAGGATTGTTTTGCCTATGAAGAAAAGCAATGTCTCCTTAAAATCACGGACATCTCTTGACTATCTCCTGAACATGTACATTTTTCATGTCCATACATTTTTCTTGACGAACAGTCAAAAGTGACTTGCCATTGCCTTTTTCCTTGAGTCTGTCTAATTTGGATTTTTTAATTCATTTTTATTATAGAAATGTTTAACAAAAGAAACAAGAAAAAAAACAAAGAAAAGTGATAAGTAAATAGAAAATAAATGAAAAAGAAAGATATAAAGAAATGGCTTCTGATCTTCTTTATAGCAGTTTTAAATATAGTATTTATGATATCCTCTGTCTGTAAGATTACATAATGGCTCCCCTTCCACATTATATCCTTTCTAACCATAAAACTCAGAAATCACACAAGTTTATTTTTGTTTGTTTGTTTGTTTTCAGCAAAAAGTTCAAACAGGGTTTCCAATCACTATCAAATGTAGTCTTTTCCATAGTCAAACGAGTCAATTTTGCCATCTCTGCAAACTCTATCATCTATGATTCTATCAAATTCACCAACCATTCCTCCATTGTAGGTATTCCAGATTTTTTTACTTCACAGTCTAGCCAGAATCATGGGAGTTCCCGTCAAAATACTGACCAGGATAAACTCTCCTTAGATTCGTAGCCTAAAGAAAATCAGCCAGGTGCTGGCATTTGTTGTCTTAATTAAAGCATCTATTTCCAAAATAAATAAATTGCTCAGTTACTAATTGCTGTAATTGGCATATGTAGCAAAGATGGCCTTCAAAAGACTTAAGTCTTGTACATTGTATTAAGACTATGTAGTCAGTGACTATTCAGATTCTGTTTCAGCTGTGAAGGAATCTTTGCCATCAGATCTACAAACAAGAAAAGAGAGAGATGTTTCAAATGAGCCTCGTCAGAAACTGAGAATATTTTATCAGGTATTAACTATCTAATGTTTGTTTGCTACAGGTCATTGTTGTGTTATTTTATCTAACTGTCTATTAGAGTCTATAAGTTACCTTATAAGTAATTCAAGGCAGCAAACATACCTAATACCCCTTCCTTCCCCTATTTTCTCCACGACAGCCACCCTGTGAGGTGACTTGGGTTGAGAGAAAGTGACTTGCCCAGAGTCACCCAGATAGCTTTCATGCCTAAGATGGGACTGGAACTCACCATCTCCTGGTTTTTAGTCTGGTGCTTTAACCACTCGGAAAACTAGGCAAAATATTTCCCCGTTCTTGAAGGAGCTAGCTATCACTTCTTGATTTTGAGCAGAAATATGCACAGATTCATAAAATGCATACTAGAAAGAAAATGAATTGCAATGTAGGTTTTTTCTAAACAAACTCATAGTAGTAACATCATCTCTTTTTATTAGTTTCTTTATAATAACAACACAAGGCAACAGACTGAAGCTAGAGACGACTTGCATTGCCCATGGTGCACGCTGAATTGTCGCAAGCTTTACAGCTTACTTAAACATCTCAAGCTTTGTCACAGCCGGTTTATTTTCAATTATGTGGTAAGTATTGTAGTAAAATCACTTGGGGTTTAATATTTTGTTTCCACTGGTGTTGCCTTAGTGGAAGGTGATTCCATTATAGAAAGCTACATTGTAAATTTCTAGATGGAGCTCAGAAGGTAAGTGACCAAATTTAATACTTTTTTTTTTCAATACTACTCAGCAGTAGTAGCTACAACAGGGAAAATCCACATTAAGTCCTGTCATCCTTCTTAATGTACCCAGTAACTCAGAATAAACAAATAGTGGCTAAAAGTTGATTTGGAATCTTTGTGCAGCAAGATTTGGAAAACCCATTCTTTTATTTATTGCAGTATCATCCAAAAGGTGCTAGGATAGATGTTTCTATCAATGAGTGTTATGATGGCTCCTATGCAGGAAACCCTCAGGATATTCATCGTCAGCCTGGGTTTGCCTTCAGTCGTAACGGACCAGTCAAGCGAACTCCAATAACACACATCCTTGTATGCAGGTCGGTAGAAAATGGAGTTAGTCTGTACATGTCTGTGAGTAAAAATACACAGTCTGTGATGCTCTCGTCATATTAGAGACAGTAACTGTGATATTGTGAGAGCTTACTATTTTAATACGTTGGTGTTTTTAAATGAACTTTACAACAATAATTGATAATCTGGATATATTGCTGCTAGAAAACAATTAGGTTTCTAGGCTGCTGCTACTACCTTCACTCCTCAAGTGGTCTTTGTAGGATTGCAGTGCTGCTCAGATATTTAAATACCTGGTTGAAAACATTAACACTTCATTTTTCAGGCCAAAGCGTACAAAAGCCAGCATGTCAGAATTTTTGGAATCTGAAGACGGAGAAGTAGAGCAGCAAAGAACATATAGCAGTGGCCATAATCGATTATACTTTCACAGTGATACTTGTCTACCTCTACGCCCTCAAGAAATGGAAGTTGATAGTGAAGATGAAAAAGATCCTGAATGGCTACGGGAGAAAACTATAACGGTAACTTTGGGGCAGACTGTGATACTATCTCTTAATCTGCTAATATTATTAGTAGATGGAATTGGTACAATTGCTGATGTAAATAGCAAGGAGCTGGATTATGTACGAAACAGGAAAATATTATTGTCGGTCAGATTCTGAAATGTTCTATATTAATTTAATTACTATGGAAAGAAAAAAAAAATATAATGCAGGGAAGAGAATCTCATGTTTAGGTTGGATGCTGGTCATAAGATTTCCATATTTTACAACTAGGGGCTCATAGATGGCAAATATAGTTAGGTGTTCGATACATTGAGTAAATGGGGCCATACTTTTATTTTTCCAATGTTGCAATATCAGGGTTGTTGTTGTTTTTTGCCATAGTAAGGGCCCAGAGAGTTCATTTATATTGTCCAATTGTCAAATTTTATATAGGTGTATATTTCAAGAGAATGTTATCCTTTGAAATTTTGCATATGTCGCACCGTCATGTTTATGTAGTCCGCTATTGTCTCCCAAAACATGTTATGTGTAGGACACTGTAAAAGCATGTGTTTTAAAGAAGCATTTATTACATATCCAACAAAATGCTTTCTTAGGCCATCCTGTTATGTACAAACGTAATGGGAATCCAATAAATTCTAAATATTTTTTGTTGCATAAGTCAGGGGTCCCCAACCCCTGGTCCAGGGACTGCTAGAATCCAGGCCGTGCATACAAGCGAAGCTCCATCTGGGGATGCAGGCAGCACATGGAACCGATCCCTGGTGCCCAAAAGGTTGGGGGCTGCTGGCATAAGTCATAATTTGAGGTCCATTGACACTCTTGCTATAGAAATTAAGGCATTCCTTCATTTATCTAGGGCCCCTAGGCAATATAGGAACCCACTAATTCTTTATTCCACTTGTTTCTTAGCATCTGCATCTCTCACTGATTTATTGATAACAAATACTTGTAAAAACCCAATAGTAGTTTTTTGTTTTTATTTTATTTTAAAGGATTTAACTGGTGGTTCTTGTATCCCAGAAGTTGAAAGTGCTGCTACTCCAAATAGAGTTGTTAACAAATGTTGTAACTATAAATATTACTGTTGGGTTACATCTGATAGATGTTATTTATCTCTTAACACAGCATAGGTTAAAAATTCATCTTTATCATCTGTCAATTGGTCCAAAGTCAAAATATCTCCACTTCCATCCAATTTTTCTGTATTACATCTTTTCCCCCAATTTTTAAAGTTGGGTTTCCCCATAAAGTCAATTTAGCATGAGGAAAAGGGTCTTTTTTATTAGATATTACATTCTATAACTTTCTGATGTAATGGTTTCCAGAGATGCTAGAGTTCTTAGTACTTAGACCCCAATACTGCCGATCCAACCAAGTGGCATCCTTATAATTATTAATATTTCCTTTGCTTTAACTAACTTTCAATGGATGTCTCACTGCAGCAAATTGAAGAGTTTTCTGATGTTAATGAAGGAGAAAAAGAAGTCATGAAATTATGGAATCTACATGTTATGAAACATGGGTATGTAATCTATTTTTAATCTAAAATGGATGAGAACAGAAATATGGATGAAAAATTATTCAAATTTTCAAAAAATATTAAATATTTTGCTGTCCTTATTTTAATGTAGTGAGAATTTTAAAAAGTTCAGTTGGAAATATGGGCAAGAATGGTATTTCTAAACAGGATTCTTTTAAACTTGCATCTTTTGAGAATTCCAAGAAATCCAAATTCTGTTTTTTTCAGGGGTGACAACTAAGTAGTAATAATTTGTCTCGTGTTTTAATGTTAACAGATTTATTGCTGACAATCAAATGAATCATGCCTGTATGCTGTTTGTAGAAAATTATGGACACAAAATTATTAAGAAGAACTTGTGTCGGAATTTTATGCTTCATCTAGTCAGCATGCACGACTTTAACCTTATAAGCATTATGTCAATAGACAAAGCTGTTACTAAACTCCGAGAAATGCAACAGAAATTAGAAAAAGGAGAGTCCATTACAGCCACAGCATCTGAGGAGTTTACAGAAGAACAGATGGGTGCAACTAATGGCTATGGCGATGCTAATTCTAGGGAACGGTCTTCAGAAATAGATAATACATCTTGTATGACAAAACAGAATAGAAAACAGAAGATCTGAAAAGACCAGCTGACAAAAAAATGAAGTGATATTCTAAGATGCATGAACTCTATAAGGAATTTAATAAGATATACAGATTTTTAACAGGCACTGCTGGAAGCAAAGGATTTCATCACAGATAGTGTTGATATGGTTCCTATTGAAATAATTATGCAAGTGCAACATGTATATCAGTTCTAGTGATGTAATGACAATACTCAAAGTTTGAGCATGAAGAGCAATACAATTTTTGGAAATTTTAATTATGAAATGTACTGAATTTACATAACTTGAGTATATGTAAACCAGTTTTTATATAAAAAATTTTTGCATCGGTAATGGCTGACTTTCCTACCATGGAGTTGAAAATGAGAAGCGATCGGAACAGTTTATAATTTGTACTTAAAAATTCTGTTTCTTTTTTGTAGAAAATAATGTATCATTTAAAGCTTAATTTGATCCTTTATTTTTATTCTATCAAATTAGAAGACCGCAGTTTTTAAATACATTTTTAAACATTCAAGTGTAATATTGCACTTCTATAATGTCCATTTAGGGGGGAAATTGCTTTATCTATCTCAAACACAGGGATATACTATATTAATTGTGCCAGTAGCCTAAAAGAATTTGTTGATATCATCTGGTATATGAGATCAGACTGTTTAGGGTGGATGAAGATGATGATATGCTGCTTTAACACCTTCAGGTTATGGTGGGCATTTCGGCCTACATTTGCATGTATACAGACTGCAGAATCAAAGCACAGTTAACCTGGGACTTTTAGATGCTACTTTTAAGGGGGAAAATACACTGTAAAATTGGTCCAGAAAATGTGTTGCACTTCTTTTGCAAGTATTCTGTGATGTATTGCATTCAATACAGATGCTAATTAAAAGCCTGGTGCAGTCTTGCACTGCTCTTAACACATTAAAGCATATGTTTACAGATTTTCTTTTTTTCCAATGGAAAGTAGCTTCACTACTGGTACAGTATCAGCACCAAGCGTTTGTTCCAGCAAGCACTATGGTTGAGTAACATCACCTCGTTTTTTTAAAAAAAATCTTAAAATAGTTCATTTTTCATATTCCTTATTTATAAAGGATCAGTTATGTATATACAATTTACATTTGTTTTTATTTCATTCCATCATCGTAAGTAGGCAGTTCCCCATTTTGGATTTTTGCTATGGAATGGGTGGGGAAGAAGCTTCCTAATGGAGATTTTCAAAACTTTATAAAAACTGTAAATACTGACTTTGGTCCCTTAAAGGTGTGTTTAACTGTGAGACTATTTAACTAATGGTGTGGATGTGATTTGTCATCCAGTATTAAGTTCTTAGTCACAGATTTGTGTCAATAGCAAAGAGGGAGACTACAGTTTTCATTAGGTGTCTTTTGTCTGCTCTGAGTTGTAGTAAACTCTAATTACACCTTTGAATAGCCGGCAAGCATTTCTCTTGGGCTTTAATTTGCTAAAGCTGTGCACATATGTAAAGAAATATTTTAGGAGAGACATAGATGTAGAGTTATTGCTTATGTCACTTAAGCAGTCGCGCTCTCAATGCTTAAAAGGAGGCTAGCATTCTTTGCACAAAAAGTTGATGACCCCCAAAAATAGTAATCAAATTACTTCTGTCAAGTAAACTTTCTATGTCATGTCCATTTATAATAAAAGCTGAGAATCCCTTTGTTTCTATTTATAATAAAGATGGATTTTCTATATGTACTCTTAATGAGACTTTGAAGAAATCATGTAAACTGGATGAACATTTGAATGGTACAGTAGATAAAGACAATTGTTTAATGAACCTTTTTGTTTTTACATTAAATGTTTATTTGAAATTTGAATTTTGTACATAAAGTTCAATAATGTAAAATCTGACAAGGTGTCATGTTGAATCTTTTCACGTATATGCCAAGATGGATTCAGAACCAGACAAATTTTGGTATGTGTGTGGGGGGGGAAATATTTGCATTTGGACTAATTGTGACTTGTGATAGGGCCTGAAATAGATTTTTTTTGGCCTGCATTTAGAATACTTTTTTAAATTATTTTTTTTTTGCTTTTTTCAAGACTTGCAGTCATAAACTAATGTAATTTAGATAAAACATACCAATAGTATTCTAAAGATAAAGTCTGATGCCACGATTGTCCATGAAGGGACCAGAAATGGTCAACGTTCAGATTGGCAACAAACATTTTTCTTTTCCGATCTGCCAGTCATTGAAATACACAAGCAAAATTATTTTTCAAATATTAACATCAAGTAGGAATATTTTGGGAAATTAAGATAGTAAAAACATCAAAATATACGGACGCACTTCAACTAATCACCCAAGAAAGCAGAACTCTTGAAACAGGCATTGTCTCAAAAGGAAACTTCTATTAGGGACTAGTGATAGCAGAAGCTGAGATCTGAAGAAAAGCCTGTGTGAATGATATAATTAAAAGCAATATGGCCCCTCCCACCAAAGTCATAATGTCTGTCTGAACTCCAGCCAATCCACAGGTGGCTTGATGGGCGGCTGACTGGTACGGTAGGCTCGCATCTCAAGGTCTTCTCCAGCTTTCGTTTCCTTGCAACTATTTCCTAGATGAGACACATTCCATACTCAAAAGAAGGCCAGGCAAAGAAAGAGGAAAGCGAAAGTTACCAACACAGTCCCCCATACACCCCCTCCCCCAACAGAATGGCAGGCCCCAAAAGAATAGAAGAAAAGAGAGCAGACTACGGCTCTGATCTACGTGAATTGAATTCACCCAGGGCCATAAGTGTAACCTTTCTGAAATCAAAGTGATAGGTAATCTTCAACTTACAGCACAATTGGGACCCAAACTTCTCTTGCTAGGCAATGTGGTCATAGAATCACACCAATTTTTTAACATATTTTTTTTTGCCATGATCATTAAGTGAATCCAATTTTCCCCACTGACTGCTTGTCAGGAGTCCCTAGGAAGGTTCAAATGGTGATCGTGGGACTGGGTCACTGCAACCGTTGCATCTATGTACGCTGGTTGACAAGCGCCCAAATTTTGATTGGGTGACTGGGGACACTGCAGTAGTTTTTTGTAAGTGCGAGGACTGGACACGAATCACGTTTTTCAGCAACATTGTCACTTTTGAACAGTTGTTCAAATGGTTTTAAGTCAAGGACCACCTGTTTTGCATTTTTTTTCTAATGGGAATTCAGCAAACACACTTTATTTCAGTTGCTATTGTTGTGCTGAATTCAAGGAATAAAACGTAATTTGCTTAAAAACTTCCCAATTTGTGGCCTGCTCAATTGTTCGGGCTTCTCTGGCTTAGCTGTCTGTTTCTTTAAGTTGTTCATACTGAAAATCAATTGCAGTCATATCTGCTCACAGGTATTAGATGATTTTTGATCTTTAGTTGTGCATTCACTTGACCATTACACATCACGCCCAAGAGATAATAATGTGCTACCTCCTGGCGCAAAAAGGTGAAGTTTTCATCTTACCCTACTGAGCTTCCAAGCTTGAGACAAGGTAGTAGTCACTTCAAAGCCAAGGCAACCATTTCTTCCAGTCTTCAAATTTTGCAGTTTCCTCTTTTTTAATATACTGTATTTATATGGAAGGCTGAGTGACCCAACCAATATGTATCATGGTTAATTTTGTGAGCATCTGAGAAACGAGTCTCAGATTACAGGAACGATCCCTTCCGTGGCAGGGTTTTTAACAACAGATCTTACAGAGCAGATTATTGTAGTCAAACCACAAGGTAACAGAGACAATGCACTATATGTCAGGCTAAGCTCAAAAATGATGTGGAACAATTCAGCCAGAGTTCAGTTCTTTATTTGCACTTAATAGAAACTTTCTAGAATAAACCCTTATTATTCTCAGCCTGACATACCCTGGGAGATTCTAAGGAGTGGCTGTCCTTTCTCTCTGTCCCCTATCCAGCTCTGCTGGGCTGCCTCTTGTCTCATCCTCTTCCTGCAATGTGTCTCCTTTCTAGGAAACTGCCACATCACTGTAGCCCATCATCCTCCCCTCCATGGGCACTATTTTTCACATCATACAAACTTTCCTGATTTAGAATAGTAGTGACCAAAGGTGGATGCAGTATTCCAAGTGTGGCCTTACCAAGGTTTCATAAAGTGGTATTAACACTTCATGTGATCTTGATTCTATCCCTCTGTTAATACAGCCTAGCACTGTGTTGGCTTTTTTGGCAGCTGCAGCACATTGCTGGCTCATATTTAAGTGATTATCCACTAGGACTCCAAGATCCCTCTCACAGTTGCTACTATTGAGTGAGGCACCCCCTATACCAGTGATGGCGAACCTTTTAGAGACTGAGTGCCCAAAAACTGGCCCTGCCCCTGCTCCACCCCCTGCCGGCCCCCGCTCTGCCCCCCCATCCCCCGCCCCGCCTGCCCACAGGACCACTTACCGCCTCCAGGGCCCGCCACAGATCGCCCAGGCAGCCCAGCAGCGCTATGGCAGCCACAGCTTCTGCCCGCGCCCTGCAGCATCAACTGCATGATGGGGTGTGAGGACAGAGTCTTGTCTACACTGGCTGGCTGCCATGTCCTTGGCTGCACTGCTCTGTGTGGATCACCCTTGAGGGCGACTCTCCTTCAGGGGGGCTGCTGGAGAGGAGGGGGTCACGGGGGGAGGCATGGCTGGGGCAACGGCACGTGTGCCCACAAAGAGGGCACCGAGTGCCGCCTCTGGCACCCATGCCATAGGTTTTCTTGCCTAAATGTAGAACGTTACTTTTTTCACCATTGAATTTTATTGTTAGATAGCACCCAATATTCAAGTCTGTCAAGATCTTCCTGTATCTTAAGCCTAACCTCTGGAGAATCTCCATAGACAATCATGCTAAGGCCTTCTTGGCCACTGCTCCATCTGCTGTACTAGCAGGAATTGTGAGTCCAGGAGAACCCTCCAATTATGAACCAGCTTCATATGGGGGAGCATGCCTCTCCCATCTAGAGGTAAAGAATAATATTTCTAGATTCAGAAAGGCTTTAGAATCCACAGCTACTCCATTTTGCTAGGACTTTCAGTGCCTCATGTGCTTGGCCAGAAGCAGGAATACCTACTGTAATTGGGCATCATCTGAATATTGGTATTACTTCAGCTCAGGTTACTTAAGTTTCACCTAGACCAGGGGTAGGCAACCTTGGCTCTTTTATGACTTGTGGACTTCAACTCCCAGAATTCCTGGCTGGCTGGTTGGAATTCTGGGAGTTGAAGTCCATGAGTCATAAAAGAGCCAAGGTTGCCTACCCCTGACCTAGACATAAAGTAGCAAAGGGAATGCACCGACTCTATGCAATTCTGCAACACGGCTCTCACAAACTCAACTTTTCCCTCTCCTTCACGTCACCCCTGAAACCTTGCTTCAAGGAAGAGAGATTATAAAACCCTGCTCTACTCTCAG